TACTCTGCATGACTGCTTGGCCACGGGAGTTAATAAAGCGAAGTAGTTTTAGTAAAACAACGCAAGTTTTAGATCAGCCAATGACAGAACGGTGGGGAAGCTTACTTTTACTCCGAGTGCAACTTCAGTTTAGGTTAAACTTTGGATGGTTTTAGGAGCTAAAACAACAGGCAAAATATGTGAAAAGCACAATAGCATATCTCACTTGTGAGGCAGCTTTACCTATCGGCAGTCCCAATCGGACTACCGGTAGTGTAGAATCGACTGCGATTTGCGTTTGTATTACTGGTACCGTATAGTGTAATACGAGTCGGACATTCATTACGAGTCGGACACCCGTGAAATTAGATAAATAATACCATTCACAACGAATTTGTTTTCAGAGTTGTCACTTCGCGCGGGCAATAAACTCCAATCCCTTAAATATATCCCCAAATGTAATCAAATATCAATTTATAGAGGGGTTTACGCGCGAAAATGCCATGGTGCCAACGAAAGACGCCATGGCCATTTACAAACGTGCCATGGAGCTCACAGACGATCAGCCACAACGCTTGCCCAAGATCGGAAGGCCGGTGTCGAAGTACTGCCCCAAGAAGAAGTCAAGGCAGTACAAGAACACAGTACTTACGTACAGCGAGCGGCTAAGCGTTATTCAATACTACGACACGTGTGGCATGCAATCAACTCTCTCTGCGTTCTACGGCAACCTCACCATGACGGCACGCGAGACAATGCGCAAGAAGATCTACTCGTGGTTGGCCAATCGTGACCACATTGAAACCATAGCGTCGAGTGCACGTACCGCGTCAAAGAGGTGCTGGCGACCGCTCGGCGCGGGGACGACGCTGACGGCAGCGGCATAGGAACAGCTCGCCCAGTGGGTGCTCGACATGCGCAAGGACGGCGTGCCAGTGACGCAGGCGATGCTGCGAGTCATCGCACTGGAGGCAGCGATCGACCTAGGCATAGAGGACCATGAGTTTCTTGCTGGATGGCACTGGATCCACGGGTTCAAACGACGCCACGGCTTATCTCTCCGATCACGTACCCGTATTGGCCAGGATTCACCAGACGAGGGCGTGGCGGCACTGGAGGCGTTTTCGGGGGGGGCAGGGCCCTGGTGCTGGAGTACGACATTGACTTAGTCTATAATGCCGACCAAACGTGTGTAAACTACGAGTACCTACCGACAAAAACGCTCAACACGGCTGGCGACAAGACCGTTTGGGTCAAGTGCGGTGGGAAGACCAAGGAGCGCGTGACGGCAATGCTGTTGGCGGACTCGAACGGCACCAAGCTCCCCCTGTTCCTGGTTCTTCGCACGGCCAAGTCGAAAGTCGAAGCCGTCGTCAAGGAGAACTTGACCTAACGCCATGGGTTTGGCAAGACGGTGTGGCAGAGCGTCGAGCCTATGCAAGGACAGAACAACAGTCAGATCTACGGCAACCCGACGGCTTGGTGGAACTCCACCATTTCGTTGGCCTTCCTGAAGTTCCACTTTGAAAAGCGTGCCGACCGCGCCACCAAGAAGGTCCTCTTGCTCTGGGACGACTTCTCCGCGTACTTCACGGACGACGTCGTGGCCTACGCAAAAGAGATCAATGTCCTGCTGGAGCGAATCCCACCAAGATACACATGGATCTGCCAACCTGCCGACGTCGCGTGGAACCGCCTGCTGAAGTGCCGTCTGCGGCAGAATTGGCTTGACCTAATCCGACGTCAGTTGAGAACAGCAAAAGAACGTGGGCGGACCTTCAAGCTCCAGCCACCGTCGAGGGCGACAGTTGTGGGTTGGATCGCGGACGCATGGGATGACCTGCCTAGCACCACGATTGTCAATGGGTTTAGAAAGTGCTGCTTAGTCGACGGTGAACCTGTAGAGGAAGTGGTGTCGGGTGGTGTTGTGGACGACACGGTTCTGTCGGAACTGATGGCTGCGAGCTCCATTGAGGAGACCATTGACCCTGACGGCGATATTTGCAATGGCGACGACAGTGTTGGTGATGGAACGGATGCATTTGAATAAATTTTGTAAATAACGAATGTTTTGTATGGCGACTGGGTATTTTTATTCACGTCGATCTCTCTTCTTGTCTATATCCTGTGAAACTGAATTTCCGTGGTAATATAATGTTTTTTGCAATTTTAGGCTTGGTGTAGGACTACTTTGTATTTGTATCTCCGGAACGAAAGCCAAAATCACCTTGTAATTCACATCGTATCCGTATTCGGATACGGCATATCACTGTCCGACTCGTATTACACTATACGGTATTGTGCATTCAAGCTAAATCTGGTATTTTCGATAGATTCGACGAATTGACGTCAAATCCACCTGAAATCGTCGAGACGTCATTTTACTTCACTGTCAACTAAAAATACTCTCTGATCACCGATCGACTATTTGAGGACCAATTCCTCCACAGCAGGGGTACCACCCCTGCTGGGGAGCCGAAATATACCTGTTCTGGGGGAAATTAGAAATAACGGATAATTGACCGGATGCACATACTCCTTGCATAGATCAGTAGAGTAGTTCAAATTTCCAGCGCGGCCCAAACCATTCAATTATCACTTTGCAATGACCTCGAAGGACAAGATCAAGTGCATGGTACCGGGATATGGGTTCATCATGTGGTTCTCAAACTTCCCAAACCACGTGAAGGCCTAGCATCGCCACATCCCGGAACATCGCAACATTCGTCAACTGTGGGGCTGCATCGTGAACGCCGCGGGGGAGCTCCAAGCTCCTGTACAGTCAACTCGCTCAACGCCGTCCAGCCCCTATATGCAGAAGAAGAAGCGAATGAGGTCGATGACGAAGACACTCACCATTCACCATGCGTTTGTACGAGGAAGATGCACTCGCTATTGCCTCGGTAAGATTGCAAATATATATTGTCCGTCACTTGGGTCGGGACCCCGTCGCCATTATGGGCGAGCTGCGACGACGTTTTTCAGCCGAAACATAGCACGAAGATCAAGTCTCCGCTGTGGAGATCGACTCGATTGTGCCCGATGACATGTCGACGGAAGAATTGGCGCCATCCGGGACGGGCTCACCGGCGACTTCTGGGGCAGCGATATCGTCTGATGTTGCGGGGGCAGAAGCGGTTAAGGAAGCGGTGGCGAAGCGTGGACGTCGCCTGGGAAGAATGGCGAAGCAATTGACGTAGAAGCGCTTTCCCTGTTGTGTTAATTTCACACATTTGAATTGCCAGGGCCCAGCGCGTTTAGATACTTTAATCAAATGAAAGTTTCTTTGGATTTAATTTCACACTTCTGAGTTATCAGGGCCTGGTGTGTTACCATACTTTATTCATATGCAGTACCACGTGATGAACCCACATCCCGGTACCATGCACTTGATCTTGTCCTTCGAGGTCATTGCAAAGTGATAATTGAATGGTTTGGGCCGCGCTGGAAATTTGTACTACTCTACTGATCTATGCAAGGTGTATGTGCATCCGGTCGATTATCCGTTATTTCTAATTTCCCCCAGAACAGGTATGTTTCGGCTCCCCAGCAGGGGTGGTACCCCTACTGTGGGGGAATTGGTCACTGTTTGAGCTCCAAACTTTGACATTTTATTTGTCCTGATTCAACCTCTCGTACTTGATTTGTATTCGGACGATGAGATAAAGCTCAAAAAGGTGAGTCAAATCACTTTAGTACGGTAAGCTATACAAGCTATACCACCCCCACGAGATTAATTGTCTGTCCGAAGCCTCAATAATTCACATAGTTTAATCAAGATAAAAATTGAGGTCAAGATAATCTTGCCTAGTTTAAACAAGATGAAAAAGAAGTAAATACCCGTGGACTGCTTTATCATTGGTGATGCCGGTTACACGTTGCTTCCATGGTTGATTACCCCATTTATGCCGCACGAAGAGGGTGGAAAACTGTCGAGTATCCAAAAGAATTTTAACTTTAAGCACTCCAGCACCAGAATGACAGTCGAATGTGCCTTCGGGCGACTTAAGGAATGGTTTCGAATATTGAAGACTCCCACGAAAGAAAGGACTCTCGGCCGTACCGTCTGCGTCGTCACCGCTTGTTTTGCTCTCCACAACATGTTTTTGCAATTTAATGATGCCCTTTTTGACATTCCGTGCCCAAGGCGAGACCAAAATAATTACGTGCAACCCTACGACGATGAACGAACAATGCATTAAATCCCCATTCCAAAGACTTGGAATTGGATTTTGTTTTCTTGTCAGGTCTACTTTTTTTCGCCGTTTTTTCGCGACCCCTCAGTCTTTATTTTCTGGCATGTCGTCGTTTTCGATCTCAATCGTGTCTACAAAATCATCTCGCGCAAAAATAAATTAATCAATGTAATATCATTTAAAAAATCCAAATCAACCATCTCCCGTAACAAAAATTGTTCAAACAAAAATCATTGAAAACATTTGAATCAACGAAATACAAAAACATGGCAAGATAGATTTATTGTTACCATTTTTTGTTTCGGCATTGGGTGACTGTCAAAAATCTCTGAAGTGCCTCTCACATTCTTGTTTGCGAGTCCGGATAACGTATTTCTTTTTAACCCATGACTGTGTGGTCAATCCAGAAGAATCGTAGGCGCCTCCAATATTCTCGCAAATCACAATTCACCAATTTATTTAATTGGACAAAATAGCTTTCACACTCAAAATCTATTGATTAAAACTCATTGCTCCATGTGAATACATCATTGACATGGTTTCCGCTAGTCGTAGCGGCCCTACTCTTCTCACGCCAACGACATTGTCGTCGACAACAACGTTTGGAAATGATTCGTCTCCGAGGCATCCTTCGTGAACGCAATGCCGTCGAGTCGGCTGCACTGCATGACGACCAGTCTGACGCGGCTTGGTACACAATGTACCGTTCCCGTAACACCCCGTCGTTCCTCACCACAGTCTCTCTGTCCCCGCACGACTTCGATGATCTGCTACAAGTATTTGACCAAGAGTACACAGTGTTGCCCGGTCCAGGTCGATGAGGACGCCCTCCGAGGATCCAGCACAAGCGGACGTTCTCTACGTTCTCTAGTGTTTGCATTTGTGGATGGTAAAAACTATCGGCACCAAAGTCCAAGTAATATTGATCTCCCAAAATGCTCAATTCAAAGGTAGTTAACGACAATGTACATATATCAATCAATTAATAGTACGAGTAGGGTGGCTTCATTCCGTCCTTGTAACGAGTTGTCTGTGCTTCGGTGTCGATGGGAAGATAATTTGGGCACGGCATAACTGCCCTTGTTCTTGGAATGATGGCGAAGTGAGTCGCCAACTTGAAGCCCGGCTGGCAGACAGTCGCTATGTAGGCGTCGGAATGAAAGTGGCGTCCGATTCGGCGTCTCCCGAGGGTGAGCGTTGTTCAGGAAAGATCATCACTCCACTAAAACAAGGTGACCTCGAGCGGTAGCCACCGGCAAACCGCCTGGCCTTACAAACTATGAGTGATTGCATCACGTCGCTTCGCCAAACTGCAGAATGGGGCATGGGGGCATCGGGGAAAGTATATCGTCAATTGATGCTACCTCTCCCTACAATCCAGTGCTACGAGGCCAACGTCTGTCCAACATGTTTCGCCTATACAATTTCCGCGTTCGTTGGACGGGACATAGCCAAATAAAAAATGTATTCGGTGCATAGTCATATTACACGTAGAAGGTAAATGCAAATTAAGGACTCACATACGATGTTTTTATAGTTAGCATTTGTATACCATGATCACTGATGTGTCAAAGATGTACCTAAAAATTTGGCAAATATTTAAGCGTCTTGGGCGAATTTGTAGTATAAAACTAAAACTAATCACAATATTTTGTCTACCGGTAGTCAATTGCATATCTTGTGCAGATATACTTGTTTGTAAGTGCTTGTAAGGTAATTTGCACCGAACATGATTATTGTGACGCATCATAACATCTTAGTGCATCGGAAAGGGCTGCAACGTAGAGTTGTCGATAGGACGTGGTAAACTTGGCTTCGAGATTGACCATTCCGTTTTCATTTTTGCAAATTAACCATTGGGGATAAAATTCTACATATATTACAAAAATTTATGACCTTGTCCTGTACTTGCTTTGACGTGAATTCACGTTGCATGGCAATACTGAGCTCCGTCGCAAGCATCACATAAGCCACACGTTTCCCGTAGTTGTTCTTCGAGTCGAAACGTGTGACCAAGTCGGACTAGTAACGAAGGTTGAAAATTTTTCGACGCTCGCATCGCACCAAATGTAGGTCCTTTGGACTTGTGGACGCAACTTCGTGGACTTGCGGCCAAGTGAGGGCACTATATAGAAGACTCTCTGATGCATGCAATTGACCAAGATGATGTTTATACCTTGAACAAATTTTATTCTATTAATATTTTACTAAAAACTATGGGTGTAGGATTACTTGAACTTATCTTCTGTCTGGAGGATGTACCCAAATTTATTTGAAACGGTTAACGGGATTTTTTTAGTGCAACACTACAGCAACGGGATCAAGTCGCTACGCGAAATCGATTTGCAACAGTTGCGAATTCACATTGGAGGCCAAAATAGCCAGGAGTCGTCGCACCTTGAACGTTCTCTGCATCTTCGTGGGGGTGCGAGACGTTTCGCAGCGTAGCCGAGGTAGGATTGATTCTGATTTTTGTGAGGGGTACGGCGCATTGCCGGGGGTTAGCGATATCAACCCACTGCCGATGCGCCAAACCCCGGAATATGAAGTTTGCACATCGACCTGAATAATGTAGGTTCCAGGGCACCTGGGTTCCGAAATTTCAAGGCTCTTCGCGGGGCAAGTTCTTGGGAACACATTTCATTTGTTTCGAGGTACTCTTATAAGTGATATTTTTTCATGCACGAAGCGCCATTTCTAACTCCTGCCAGCACACTAGCGCAGCGGCGTATTTGCTACTTATTATACTACTACCGTATATCCCCCCTTCAGTACCTATCAGTGAAATCTGATCAAAACCGCTACAGCGGGACCTTGAAAACTATTCAAGCATGTGCATTGGTCTAAATTCATCACAGTACTGATATTTTATTGGATGAAATTGATTAACGCATGGTGATTGGGTATATCTGTCAGACAACTAGATACACACCCAACCAGAACGATAAAAATGTTCGTCATTGGCCGTATGTTCGAAACCTGTACAGGTCCAACAACCGGAGAAATCATAGGTACTGAAGCGGGGATATACGCGTAACGTTAGTAGTATATTGTCATATTTCGATCCAGATTGGATCTTCCCGGCTTGGATCACTGCACGCAGTTGCACCATGTAAGCTGCTCGTATTCCTTTACGGAAATATCGTTCATCTGCAGTGGTTCATAATGCAACGTCTTGTATGTGAACACCCGTTCATCCAGCGAACGATGAGGTCGATACAAACAGGTTGAGGTCGTTTTGAAGATTGGTCTGGATTTCCAGGAGTGTGATTTGACAGTCGAACTCCATCCATCGTTCCTTTTTGTCAACGGCTTGTGGCGACAGTATGCGTGGTTTGTTTGTAAGTGCCTCGTCGACGTGGCTGATATTCGTTAGTTAGGAGTTCAGTATGTGTGTGGTTACTGTACTGGGGTCCGAGGTGATGGAGGTTCATCGCCATTAGGGAGGGTAAGGGGAAGATCGGGATCCATGAGGAGGTACTGCATCGAAAAAATTTGAAAAGTGCGCGAAAGGCGGTTTCTCGTACTGTTTTCTGACCAATCAGAGGGAGTTGAAGTGAACGTGCGAAATATATTGGTCTCGCCACGAAATATATTGGATGTTTGCGAATCTAACTGAGCAAATCACGAAATATACATGCAGTCCACGAAATATTGAGTGGATTCGACGCTCCCACGCAGCTAAATGCCCTTGTCGCGAAATATACTGAAGTTTCACGAATTTAAATGAGATTCCACGAAATATACAAAAAAAATCGAAATTACTACGTACTACTATTAATATTATACTATTAATAGTACGCGTATTGTCATATTTGCTGTGCCACATACTATTGTAGTACTACCTAGTACTTACTAGTACTACCTCTGTCCAAAGATGATTGCGACTGTCCAAGGATGATTTCGACTGGAATTTCGGTAGCACTGTATGTCTTGCTTTTAGTATACCAAGTAGATTTTTTAATCTGAAAATACAATAAAAATACAAGGTGGTGGGACTTCCC